TCTGTGTTTGTTTACCGAGAAAACTTGCAAGGAGAAAAAGAAGGCAAGGCAAATAATATTGGGTTGTTTCATATGTATATATATATCTGGTTTATTTGGTATAAACTAATAACTTAAGCTGAACCCAATCAACTCTGCACTTACGTTCCTGGCCATTTCTTGCATGATAAATAGTTTGTGCTAGAGATTGACATGAGAAATGCTGAAAATTGCTTGATACCATTTGGATGAATAGATTGAATTTTATTCAATCTTCTCTATTTTTGAACATGTTCATTATTTTGTTTAACTGTGGAATTATTAAATATCAACAAAAAATTTCATCAATCTTCATTCTCTTTCTCTCTCTGTCTCCATCTTTTTTAATTTGATATTTAGCTTTTGAAATTAGAAAATACCGTTTCTTTTTCATGATTTTTTGGTTTAAAGATAGTGAATCATGTATTATTTTGCCTGGTTCCAGGGAATCAAGGATCAACGTTCGAGCTTCTTATGCTGCTTCTGCTCAATTACGAGCTTCAAGTTACTTAATTGAAGAAACCGCTACTACTTTTTGTTCTTCTCAAGCAATATCCGATAAAGGTCTATCTTTATTGAGATTTACCACTCAAGATGCATCCACTTATTTCTCTGTTCGAAGATGTGGCCTTTCTTCCCAAGCTGGTGCTGAAAGCAGTGGGGAGGAAGATGACTTTGATGGTTTTTCTGAACTTGAAACACCTGCTAATGCTGAGACCAAAGGAGATCATATTGTTAAGGATGAAACTGAAGATGGATTGGATTCTGATAAAGAATTATCGGTGATATTGAAGAAACTGCTTCAAATGAACTGGAATTGTTTGAGGCTGAGACGGATGTTCTTGATAAGAAGTCATCTTCACGGAGAACTAACTCGGAACTATTCAAAGCTATTATCTCAGCTGCAGGTTTCTATTTATAAGGCTCTGATAATTGGGTGAGGAAGGGAAAAGTATTAGCAGAGATGAGATTCATTCGCAGTGCTCAATCTTCGCAAGCGCAAAATGTATGGCAGGGCATTGCAGTGATTTGACTTATCATTGTATCTATTTTGAGAATTTATTTTCATTAATTAAGGTCACCTTGTTGTGTATGAAACTACCTTCTCAGCATATAGGTTTTTCAATGTGATTTTAGGATTTAGGTAAGTTATCTGTTAAAAATTATTTCAATAAGATTTTATAAAAATGTTAAATAAATTGTAAACACTAAACTGTTGTTTGTAAGTGGAAAGAGTGTAAAACTAAATATGATTAGGCAAATCTGTTTATCCTTTTCTCAATAAAGCAACGAAGTGAAATTTTATTGCTTTCTTCAAATTCTGTATCTTATTTGTCACGGTAAACATCACTTGATTGTTCAAGGTTTCATGGTATTAGTTAGACAGTAAAGCATATCAGTTTAAACTTTTCAAAAATTGAGCTGAACAAGAAATCTATTTTGTGCTGATGCTATGCTGTAAATGTGGAAGCAATCAACCTCTGGTTTGTAAGTATGTGTGTAAGACCTCTTGTTAACTCAAGTACAAACCTTTCAAACAAGTAAAGATTTGGTTTCTTGGATGCAATGTTGCATTATTATATTGAAACTTTGGTTTCTTTTTATTTACTCATGTATTAGTATATCACTTTGGGAAAGGAGTAGTCATTGTGCATTCATCAATCATGTCTGCTGGATGCATTGTTTTCTTGTGCACTCATCAATTGCTCTCATTTGAAAACTACACTGATTATTAGAACTTTAGGTTCTCATCTAGTTTTCTAGTTGCAGGTGTTCTTGCAACAACCTTACATTCATATGATGATACTGCTAAGCCTCTGGCAGCTATTGTGATTGATAATTTGGCGCTAAAATTGTTCTGAAAATCGTGACTTTAGTTTATATTCTCCTTGGAATTGGCTCACTTTTATTTCTCCTTTAGCTAGGAGACAGATGAAAATCTCTTTAAGAGAAAGTCATTTCCCTGTTTTGGGTTTTGCTTGTATTATCTGAAGGCTCAAAGGGAATGTGATTACCATTACTTTAAAGTTGCTTCGGCTTCTAGTTTTTACACGGCATATTTTGCAGTCTTGCAATTTCAACTGCTTAAATGGTATGGATTTTCTAGGTCAGTTGATATTTTTTTTCTTCTAATCTTACCCCGTTCAGGCACCTTTGTCCTTACTCCATTTGCCGGGTTACTTGATATTTATTTAAATGCCTAAATTGAAATGATATTCTATTGTGTATGGTTCTGGTTATGGAAGTTGTCGGTTTTACTTAATTGCATTTTGTTTTCCTATATGTTTGCTTACACAGATTTTTTGCAGCTCTCTGAGTGGCTGGAGATGAAGAAGCAGCTTGACTTGTCGAGAGAGATTATGCTTCTCGTCTTGATTTGATTGCCAAGATACGTGGTCCAAAAGGCAGAAGACTACATTCGACTATCCCGAAAGCTTTCAGGGGAGAGGTTAATGTACAGAACCCTACTGGCTAATTGTGTTGTTTCTAACCATTTGAAGAAAGCGGAGGAGGTCTTTAACAAAATGAAGGACTTAGAATTCCCAATTACTGCATTTGCTTGCAACCAACTGCTACTCCTCTATAAGAGGCTTGACAAGAAAAAAATAGCTGATGTGCTGTTGTTAATGGAGAAGAAAATGTCAAACTTTCACCCTTTACTTATAGAATTAATTGACGAAAGGTTTATGTAATGACATAGCCGGGATGGATCAAATTGTCGAGACAATGAAAGCTGAAGGTCTTGAACCAGACATCTATACACAGTCCATCCTGGCTAAGCACTATGTCTCAGCGGTCTTGCAGAAAAAGCTGAGGAGTTTTGAAGGTGTTGGAAGGGGACAACATAAAGGAGAACCGTTCAGGTTGCAAGTTTTTGCTTCCTCTATATGCTGAACTTGGAAAGCTGATGAAGTGGAAAGAATTTGGAAGGTCTCTGAATCAAACCCCCGCTTTGAAGAGTGTATGGCTGCCATTGAAGCTTGGGGAAAGTTGGTCAAATTGAAAATCAGAGGCAGTTTTTGATAGGCTGTTAGCAACATCAAAAAAGCTTCCCGCTAATGTTATACCAGCTGTTGAAGGTATACTCAGACCATAAGATGCTGCAAAAAGGGAAAGATCTTGTAAACGAATGGCTGATAATGGGTGCCAGATTGGGCCATTGACTTGGGATGCACTGTGAAGCTTTATGTTGAAGCAGGGGAAGTGGAAAAGGCCGACTTGATCTTGCAAAAGGCATGCCAACAAAAGGAGAATAAACCCTTGTTTGCTTCTTTCATGGCTGTGATGGAGCAGTATGCTAAGAGGGGTGATATCCATAATGCGGAAAAATGTTCCATAGAATGAGACAGGCAGGATATGTCACTCGACTACGTCAGTTCCAATCTCTGTTGAAGCGTATATAAATGGCAAAGCTCCGGCTTACGGATCAGGGAGAGAATGAAAGCAGATAACATATTCCCCAATAGGTATTAGCGGCTCGGTTGGCTCAAGTTGATGCCTTCAGAAGGACTACTGTGTCTGATTTGCTGGACTAAGGATTTCAATGGTTACTTCAGGTATACATTTAATGGCAACCTCTATTTATATGAACAGTATTACGTTCATGTGGTCAAAACTGGTTGTTCAGCACTAGACATTGTATGTTCTGCTTAATTAAACTTCAAACCGTACTAAGTCTTTAAGAAATATGTGTTTTTTTTTAATATCCCTCAAGTGGATATGATTGTAGCAGTTGGTTGTTAGTTAAAAGATGGTCGGTCTTTCCAGGAGTTAAAAGTTCACTGTAGGTTCAGACAATCTAATAACTGATTACCATCCCATGGCAAACCTGGATCAAAAATATTATTATATGGTCAACCCCTTTTTGGCCAAGAAATCCAATAAAGAGTTTGCTGGGAAAGTTGCTTCTTTTCGTCTTCTCCGGTCTTCTTCACCTCCTCAACATCTGCAGAATCGGACCTTTTCTCGTCAGCTTTCTACTCGGAACGTTTTGATTTCTTGGTTGTTCTTGGTGGTCGGACATGAAGACGTTCATTGAAGAAATACCTTAACGGGAGTCAAACGGTCAGTCAACATGGTTGTACTATGTCAGGTCATCGGTTAACGCTCTACGTTAACATTTTATAACCTAATAATTGATTTGTTATAAATCGATAATATTAATGATCAAATCGTTACATTTGAAACATTAGTAGAGAAAAACAAACTAATATACTTTATACTATAAAATTGCAATTCAATCTATATCGAATCAGTAAAATGAAAGGCTATTTAATAGTTTCATACATCAAGATCCTTATCTTCCTTTTTTTTTTGGTACAAAATAAAGCATAAATTAGCTATATATATCTTACTTTACTACCCTATAGTAATTAATTGAATATTACAATATTATGGAAAGAACCAATCACGATCTTCTTTCAATGCCAAATGTGTAAACGGATGTTGGAAGGCCATGAAAAGTAATAGCAACATTTTGTTTTGGTTGAACTAAAATAGTAAAACAAACATCGTAGTTTCATGTGTCCTTTCCAAATGTTACGGCTTTAGATGTTTAGGAGACAAATAAGTCACCCTTTGACTCACAAAGGGAGAACATAGGAGAGATTTATGTCCTGTCCCTTGCCTTCTTTAGGCAGGAAATTAAAACCCATAGTAAAAAAAGTTACAAACTAAAGACTAATGCGGGTATTTCAACACGTAATCTTCACTTAAATATAATAATGCAAATCTCATGCATGTTGCTTATACAGTTATTTGTTAGTTATGATCCGACAACAAAAGATTGAATTTAATACATGAAGGAAAGGAGAATTGTAATACAATTTGTTCATTAAAGACGTCTTTTGTTCTATGTTTTGGATAATTTGTTGTTGCATCATCGAATCTGATCATCATTTTCTTTTCAATGTAGTAATGATTATCTTGCATATAATTGTACTTAGATTTCAATGATTAGTGTGTAGAAGAATTTGCAGAAAATGAACAAAGAGCAAAGTAGTGTTCTGAAAGCATGGGGGGCCACCATGCGCAAGACTCAAGCTGCAAAAAAGCGTGCAAATAGCATTTTCGGGATAACATCAGTGGCGAACGTAGCTCAAAACGATGTTGAAGACGACGATACTGCTAAAAATGTTAGCACATCAGGGGAACCGTACTTTGCAGAAAATTCTTCCGAACGGGGATTACACAGGGCAATGGCATGATAATTTCCCCGATGGACAAGGGAAATACTTGAGAATGGCACAAACTATGGGGAGGGGAAGGTTTACTGGCCCTCTGGTGCTAGTTATGAAGGAGAGTTTAAAACTGGATACATGGATGGAATTGGTGTATATATTGGAGCCAATGGGGACACATACAAGGGAAACTGGGTGATGAACTTGAAACATGGTCATGGCACAATGCATTATTCGAATGGAGATTTGTTCGATGGCGAATGGCGTCGAGGTGTAGAGAGGCCATTGGATAAAGCCAGCTTATGGGAGAATGATGTGTCGAAATGATTTTTTCTTAAAGGTGAAAAAAATGATTTTGAAAACCACATCAATTTTTAAATTATCTCTTTCAATTAAATTTTAATTTAAAAACAAATGTGATTTAAAAACCTCTCGTTTCAAAAAAAAATTAGATTTCCTTTACGATCGAAAATATACCGTTCAAAGAGTCGCCACCAATCTTTATTTAGGGTGTGATTGGGCACCCAAAAATGTTTGTTATTTTAAATAAAAATTAATTTTAATTAAAACAATAAATTAAGGTATGCGTTACCAAAATCCGAGTTCGGGAGTCGGTTACATGCGGGGAAGAATTAGCACCCCCACAGCGCCCTAAATCGGTACCTAGTCGATTAATTAACGTCTTTGCAATGAACTTTACAAATTCAAATTTAATTTGACTTTTAATCCCATAAAACAACAAATATAAATTTTACAATATTCAAAAGCACTCAAATAAATTAAATTAAATTACCAAGTCGTTTTAGAAAGATAAAGAATGTTCGATTATTCAAATATCGAGACCAAATCTTAAAAGCTATAACAACCTTTTCTCGATAAATTTAAATAAACGAACATTTCCTTTTCTTTCGTTCCCAAATTTTAAAGTGATGAATCAATTTTTAGGTGTCACTAATGGGATACACTTTTAATTTAAAATCGTCAAAGCGGATCTCTAATCAATTAAGACAACCCACTTAAAATAATTTTAAATTAAAAGGGTATTACCCTTAATCCAATTATGTAATAGTGTCGAGTTATGTGTGAGGATATCATACAAATTAAAAAAAACATGTATATACATATTTAAAAATATGACTAAATTTAAATAAATGTAAAATTCAGCATACAAATAAAAAATAAACCAGAGACTTAAATAAAAACATCCACAACAAAGGTCTACACGTGAATAACTCAACAAAATTATAACTAAACTAAAACTGAAAAATAACGAATTAGGACAAAACACAAAATGTTAAATTCGAATATAGACTTACAAGTGACTGAAATACAAACATGCCAAAATAAGAAGACTAAAACCTAATTTTATCCTAAACATTTAATATGGAAACCAAATACTAACCCTACTGTAACCTTACGCAAAAACCCAACATATTTAATATAAATCCTAAACAAATAAAACTTAAAACTAAACCTCATTCACGTGGAACAGGAGCACAGTGTTTAGCTCCCTCCCCTTCTCTCCACTCTTCATCTCTCCCTCGGCCACGCACAACGCCGCTCAACCCTTGAACCCTCTCCATCTCTCGGCCATGTTTTCTACACACCAAACGACCACTGTTCAACCACTGGGTAAAGCCCCAAATCAATCTAACTCCTTGGTTTTCTCTCTAGACCACAAACCCAAAACTAAGACTCACCAAATCGACCCATAATTTCTACTCCGATGATCTCGACTCCAACGAGAACCCGACGAAGGTAACCCGAAACCCCCTCATACCTCTAATTTATTTTCTTATAGGTTGTTTAATTTAGGATTTATTTGGCTTAATAATGCTAACCACGGATCCTTAATCCTAACAATTAAATCCCGAATGCCTAAGATGGAATCGCTGAGGCTCTACCGTCATTCACAACCAAGGTACTTTTCTAATTCCTTTCTCTGTTATTTTATTGGTTTCGAAAGGAAAATAAAGAACCACACATAGCATGACTGGATATTTCGAAAAATAAAAAGAAAAATAACTTGCTTACAAATTACTTGTATTGCTTTCGAAAAAAGATAGGGAATGCCCCGATTACACTGCTTGATCTCTGAATCCCTGAACGTTGTTTACACAGCTTCCGTTTTCTATTTGTTCTGGTGTGTAAATAAAATAAAATAAATCTGATCTTTGTTCTCTTTCTCTGTTAAAATGGTCTTTGCTTTCTCTCGTTCTAAATCCTCCCTTTTCTGTATGTCTATTCTCCCTCGTTTTTACTCTGTGCTCTCCTTTTTCTATGTCTGGTTCCCTTTTTTTTACTCTGTGCTCTCTTTTTTTCTATGTCTGGTCCCCTCTTTTTTACTCTGTGCTCTTTTTTTTTCTATATCTGGTCCCCCTCCTTTTCGTAATAGCCATCCCTTTTTTTTCATCACCCTAAAAAACTCCCTTTTCTTTATTGGTTAATTGAAAATTAAAATTTACAGTTTCTAGTGGTTAATTCATGATAACTATTTTTTTGGTTTTCCAGGGCTTCACGTGGGCTGCTCTGCCGGGTCATTGGTTTGGTCCTCCAACTGCTCTGCTTCGGGTCTACTGCGACCTAGCCCCGGACAAAAATGAGCATCTACAGCTGCCCCTCTTTGCTCATTATCGTGTAACGAGAATAGAACAAAGATCAAAAGATGATCGAGTTTGTCCGGTCTTGAGAACTTCAAAAGATTAAAGCACTCTACTGTTACTTCGGGATAAATGAAACTTGAAAAATCTTCGAATGATATGTCTGCTTCTTCTTGTTCAGGGATTAAAGAACTCGAATAATCTTCTAAAAATGGGTTCACTCCCTATTGCTTCAGGGAGTAGAACTCGAACAATCTTCTGTTTACGAGTTCGCTCCCTCTTGCTTTAGGGAATAGAACTCGAACAATCTTCTACCTACGGGTTCTCTCCCTCTTACTTCAGGGAGTAGAACTCGAACAATCTTTTGCCTACGGGTTTGCTCCCTCTTGTTTCAGGGAGTAGAACTCGAACAATCTTTTGGTGTGATTCTGCTTCACTATTCTTCCATGAAGGCTCAACTTCGAAGGTTAAACCTGAAAATCAAACGTTGCCACTCATTAATGTATGCTTGAAGATTTGAAAAACATTATACTCGAAAAAATTAGAATTTAAGAGAATCTTTGAGAATCCATTTCTCTTGCGGGAGCTTGTCTCGCAACAACTAGATATAAGAACCTTCTTGGACTTGACTGCCATCTGAACCTATCTCTTCCTAAGACTTTGAATTGGTTAATGAATCATCGTGCGCATTTTCTTTTAATCAATTGATCCGCTTCTTTGTACTCGAGAACCTTCACTTTCCTCCCACATCTAATGATCTGATGGATTGCTCCAACGCTCTTCCGAGAAGGCTTAAAATGGCCCGAAGGACTTATCATCTTGCTCGAAAGACTTACAAATGACCCGAATGATTTAATCATCATGCTCGAAAGACTTACTGATGGCCCTAATGATTTAATCATCATGCTCGAATGACTTACTGATAGCACTTACTGATGGATTTGCTTCACTACTCTTCGGTGAAGGCTTACAAAATACCCGAAGGATTTAATCATCATGCTCGAAATACTTACTGATGGCCCGAAGAACTTCATCATCATGCTCGAAAGACTTACTGATGGCACTTACTGATGGGTTTGCTTTACTGCTCTTCTGTGAAGGCTTACAAATTACCCTAAAGATTTAATCATCATGCTCGAAAGACTTACCGATGGCCCTAAGGATTTAAGCATCATGCTCGAAAGACTTATTAATGGCCCGAAGGACTTACTAAGTGCGAAATTTTGGAAAAAAATCCTTTTTAGTTTTCAAAGGTTTCATTTTCTTAAAACATCACTTTCTTATTTATCAAACTCATGTGAAAACATCCTACCCAAAGGTCTTATGGATGGCCCGAAGGATTTTTAATCATCATGCTCAAAAGACTTACTGATGGTCCCGAAGAACTTAAATTGTTTACTAGATAAGAAACCTTTCTTATTTTTCAAAATCTCAAATTTCATATTTTAATGAGAAATCCTTCTTATTTCGCTTCATAAAATGACTTAAAGGTCGGGCCTCATTCCCCGTTTCAAAGTAATACTTCCTTTACGGATTGACCCCTACGTTCCTCAGGTTCTGTCTCTCTAAACATGATTCCTTGTATTTGATGTTTAACTTCTACCTTTCAATTATCGAGATTTTAACATCCTGCATCTTCTCTTTTCACTGGAAGATCTGTCAAAACCATATGTTTATGCATGAAACACGAATGCAATGAAATGTATCAGTGTAATGCATTTTCTTTTATGCAAATGATGTTCTCATGAATGCATAAATATCGATTCAATCTTCATTTGACTTCAAAAGTGGCGAACTCAATCTTCTTTTACTTGATCATTCCTCTTCGGGATTTGCTTTAGATATCCGTATAACAACTCATAATTTCCAACTTGCATTTTTGAAGAGCTTTCTGATCTTCTTCTATCTTCTTGTTGTCTTCATTTTCTATCTTCATTTCAGAGAAATTGCTTTCTCTCTCAACTTCTTGCTATGATCAGAAATACCACTGTGTTGCCCCATTTATGTCCTTGGTTCAATTACGATTTCTAAGTTGTTCTTTAAGGACTCTGCCATTGATTGATGCTCGGTTGACTTCCTCTATAACTTAAGTTCTGCTCAAATTCACGGTCTGCCCCTGACACTTCAAGTTGTGAGACCCATTCTCAATATCTTCTTGGTTTAAATCTTGTCATCCCTACATGATCTGAATTTCTAGTCATGGCCCAAAGTGGGTACTCATGGATTTCTTTGTGCCCAACATATCATAACTTGAATAGTCTCAATCTGGTGTCACTAAACAACAGTATTATCAAATAGCTCGAGGGCTTCTCTTCATGTCTCCACAAACACTTAAGAAGTGGTCAACTCTTTTAACAAAATGTCTTGCATTTTTATACAAGCTGGGATAATGCCCCTTCCGAATAATGAGACCATCTTCTTCTTGGCGGGTTACTAACAACGTCACAAGGAAATGTTACAAGTTGTATTCTTTAGTCTTTCTAATCTCTCGGACCACTTGCTTTCAATACTGTGAAATGCTTCACTATTCTGGCATCATTTATTTTTTCTACAACAGAGGCAGAATAAATCTTTCCAGCTTCAAGGACCTTTGACATTTGAGATTGTCCTGTTTGAAAATGTTTTTCTCTTTCTCTTATTTTAGGGATCAAAGAATGAAAGAATTTTATAAAAAATTACCCCTTAATTCAAGCTCACAATTAAATCAAATCATAAACATGAGTTCAAAGAATATAAAAAAAGAATCAATAGCTCTTTTTAATGTTTTCAGAGTTATAACTCTTTGACAAGTGCCGAAATTGATGAGTTGGCATCAGGTTGGCTTTCCTTTTTTTAAGATTTAGACCACCAAAATTTCATTTCTTTCTCAGTCTTCGTGAACATTTTAACATGCACCTCTTTCTTGGCTTGGTATTTTAATCGGATACGGACAAAATGACGCAACTTGCATAATCAATTACTAGACTTTCTAGAACACTTCTATTTTAGTTCTCTGAAATCTTCCATTTGTTCAAGCCTCGTAGACTCCTCTAACAAAGGTAGTGCAGAAATATCGGTCTAAAAAATGAAATTCCTGAGTGCCCGTGTGAAATTGACTATAACATGTGTTCCTTAACTCCCTTAGTCCATTTTTACCGAATCTCCTTATTCATAAAATTGATTTAATTTGCCATTGTCTGGCTAGCTGAAATCAGCTTTATTGTAATTTGCCTCTATCGGGCTAGCTGAAGGGTTCATCTCATCACAAATTCTTTGACTTGACAATCACAGTGGAGCATACACCAAATTGCTAGGTACCCGATCAAGGTCATGGTTTGAATATAATCTATTCATAAAGCCAGGGCTTTCGAGTTTCCTCTATAACCAATTGCTTTAGCGGAATAGCTCAGCTTTATTGTATATATATAATATCATCACCTTTATTAGGCTAGCTAAATTATGTCCATAAAGCCGGGGAGTTTAACCAATTTCTCTAGAGGGACAGCTCAAGCTTTATTGTATACATATAATATTATAATTTGGGTATACGGGTCCAATTTCTTAAGCTTGTCAAGAAGAACCTGTCATAGTCTAGGTGTTGTTGAAAGTCAGAAAATCTCATCGTTAGAGTTCAATTTCCAAGCAACTGACCTAAACTAGATTCACCTACTCGACTATTCCATCTGTAAGGATCATAATCATCATTGATCGTCATCAACAGAAGTGTAATCTAGTCGGTTTTGTAACATCATACACAAAAGATGCCCCATGTTATCCACTCCTATACATACCTGAATACCAAACCTATTGTTCATCTCCTTATGATAGAAGAAGGCTATATCGGTCCCTGCAATAGAAGGGTATAGTGTTCGATTGTATCTTCTGGAGATAAGGTAAAGGTCTTTGTTTTATCAGGTTTCAACCTTGTCATCTTGTCAAAGATTTATAACTCTAATCATTTACAGAGTTTTTAATTCAGTAGGTATTCAAATAATTTCAAGTTGCAAATTCGATTCAATTCTCACCATCATCAAAGTAACATGAATTTATTTAAACATCATTATAAAAAACTGAGAAAGGATGAAAAACAAGTTCAAACATGATGTTGCAAATGAAATAAAGCTCCATGATGAATGAAATGATCTCTTCCTAATTAGGATGCCCCATTACCCATCTAATGTCGTGGTACTTAACTCAAACGGATGTTACATATTGTTCTTTGATGCCCCACTCAAGCTCGTCATCCACTGTTCCACCAATTCCTCTGTTAACGTCCCATTTGCCACAAGCATCTCTATCTCCTTTAACAGCGGCCTACAGTTTCCCGTAGAATGTCCCAATGCCCCCAAGTGGAAATCACAGACACTATCTTGATCATAGCTATGAGCAGAAGGGTTTGGTTGCACTTTCACTGGCCTCGGTGTGAGGTATTGACCTTCAATCAAATGGGGATACATATCTGAGATAGGAGTTTGGAATACTTTAAAAGCATTTTTTGATCTTGGGACTTTCTTTGGATGTCTCGAGTAACCCGCTGCCCCTTTTCTTTTATGGCTTTGAGAGCTCTGGACGTAACATTCATTCACCTCATCAGTTTGTTCCTTTTGATCGGTTGGGTTTTTAGAAGTGTCTTTCAAGTTTCCTTTACTGATTGCATCCTCAATTAACTCCCCTGCTTTCATAAGATCCTTGAAGTTATTCGTCGACTTTCCTAGCATTAACTCAAAGAAAGGAGCTGGAAGAGAATCGTGAAACATATATGATATTTCTTCTTCTAAAAAAGGAGGTTGAACTTGTGATGCCACTCCTCTCCATCTTAGGGCATATTCTTTAAAGCTCTCAGTAGCTTTCATTCTTATCCTTTGAAGGTCATGACGTTTTGGGGCTAAGCCTTTAATATATTGATATTGTTCCAGAAAATCATCAGCTAGGTTGACCCATGTCTTGATTTGTTCTTTATTCAAATGATTATATCATACTACAGCTGGCCCA